GTGAGATTCGGTATAGCGTCGTCAAGATGAGGATAATGTGTACATACATCTGTGCCACTGACATCAGTTCTGAACCATACGATCACCTAGAGTCAGTCTACAAACACTAGTTCCTCTTGTCCCGCGGACCCAACCCCAACCACCCACTCTGCATCGCCCCACATGGCTCAAACCAACAGTTAGAGACTTCATACATTGGTGCCATGTTTTAGTCTGGTCGCCCCGAGTCTTTTTCCAGCCTAGACCTACTTCGGTTAACATTGTGTGATGGGGCGATCGGTGACTAGGTATACGTAACACGTGTCCTAACCATCTAAATCGATGAAGGTTTACAACCGTGTCAACTGATTTATCTCATCTTCCTAAAACTCTGCGTCTGATTTCCGTGTTACTCACGTGAATTTCTGATATAAAAAACCCATTGAAACGTATTTACACAATATCAAAAATTACAAAAACGTCACTACTCATCTGACAAGTTCCATCAATGAACAAAGTAAAATACTTAATGAGGCGTTAGCATTCATCACGGACTGATATCAATGGAAACCTGGGAGTACTGGACAGCTATTTCGTCCTAGAGTGAGGTGCCTCAGCAATGTGCACCCATGACCCCACCATGGACCGAACCCAGGACCTTCAGGTGCCATGGTCAGCGCGTTACTATTAGGCCACTGAGTCAGAAACCAATGATCCACATTTTCTACTTCTATCAGTTCATAATAAACTGCGGCCTCCAGCCAATACAGTCATTGAGTAACTGTCCTAATGTTCAACTTGGTTGGCCCCAACGATCACTTCTTAATAGAACTCTGGGAATCGCCTGTCGAAGCTAATCACCAATGAACCCTAAATCAATTCAATTTTAAGGTTTGTGGGGATTTATGAAGTGATTCCAGGTTGCTATTCATCATGGATTGATATCAGTTCCGTAGCCACAGAACCTGAAGGCCCTGGGTTCGATCCCTGGTGGAATCATGGGTGTGAACTGCTGAGTCGAAGCTTGGTCAGCGCGTATAAAAATATCACAATACCACCACCACATAAACGAAAGTAAGATACTACTCACAATTATCCTATTGGTTAAGCGCCATTACCCCTACAGTGACCCTGTTACACATTGTTGTTTAAAATAAACCTATCTGATGAAGAAAAGTTAAGTAAAACTTCAAATACTGAAGTTACATAAAGTAACTATCTTGAACAACCTATCCCTTGCTCTTTTTAAGCATACAGGCGAAACGTTTGTCAGGAAAAACTGGCAAATCGACAGCCTTTTATGGCCCTTTAATAAACCCACCGTTAAAAATTACGTAATAATGTGTGACAGTCATCCGAATACTAGTTGTATGAGAATATTGGTTACTTTAATAATTTAACAGGGTTAGAAAAACGCCTGAAAAATGATCCGCGATCAGCAGGTCAGGTTTGTTACAAGCCGTGGATACATTGGTCACGTATTCACTTTGCACCAGATGCTCAAAAGCCATGTCACATGTGAACAAAATGACTAACATAGAGTCACAGCATACAATCACCTATCTTTTTTGTCCCGAAGTAGTAGTGCAGCTGAGCACAGCTTCCTGATTTCGTCAATTCTCCAACTGATGTCAGTCTATGATGAATAACAAGTTGAAATATTTCCAAATCTCCACAACTCCCTCAAAATTTAATTGAACTGGTGCTCATTGGTGACTAGCTTCGAGAAGTATTCCCGAAGTTCCAATGAGAAGTCATGACCGGTGGAGTCAAAGCCTGATGGCCGTGAGGACAGATACTCAACGATGACATTGGGTGGCGGTTTGCACTATATCGTGAGCTAACAGAAGTTGGAAATATGGAGCATTGCATTCTGACCCAGTGGCTCAATGTTAACACGCTGGCCGCGGAGCCTGAAGGTCACGGTTTCGGTCCCTGCTTGTGGGGTCGTGGGTGCGCACTGGTGAGGAGTCCCATACTAGGACGAAACAGCTGTCCAGTGCTCCCAGGTTTCCTTTGTTCCTCCAACTGATGTCCGTCTACGATGAATAACAACTTGAAATATCTCCAACACTTTGTTGTTATATGACATTAGATTGATAGTTTTGAAGGAGGTGCATGGCTATATGGATCCGCCATCAGGATAGTTTTTAATTTTTATTATGCAGACGATGTCATCTTACTGCAGAAAATACAGCCAAGTAATAACTTAATCAGTTAGTGGCTACTATCAGCAATTATGGCATGGACTTTGCACCATCGAAGTAAAAAGCAATTCTGTAACATCGATAGGACCTTTTGCTTTGACTCATCCTTAGGCGAGAAGTGGTAGATTTAGTCTAAACGTTTGTGAGATAGATGTGAATCATCGTCGAATATAGTAAGCATGAGTGGCATACGTCAATCGTGGTCACCTTGAGCTCTATTGTTGGGCTATTTTGATAGTCAATACAAGTGTTCAAATCTTCAGTGCAGGCGATTCAATTACATGACTGACATATTAAGTCGTCCAGTTGAGAATGGTGGATGGTTGCATTTGTTCGATCAACAACACCACCTTCGCAGAATTGCTCGTCTGAGTTGGAAAACCTCTTGATGTTATTCCTAATCTCGACATAGTGTGATTAAATGTTAAGGAGATTCTTATCTCGTGAATAAAGTATTCTAGAGATACCGAAAAGGGTTAAGAATACCGTTACAGCAGAATAACGGGTACTTCTGTCACGCTGGAACCTTTCAGTGGATCAAGACACCCTCAATGAGGTCCAGAAGTGTTTATCAAATACGGCTGAGACCTCCAGAAGGTGTTGGTGAACCTGTAGCTGTTTAGTTTCCTTTGTTACCAAAAAGTAAGACATCAGGATTGGATGTTTTTTCCCAATGTATCCTATGAAACTTCTTCCCTCACTACCCACTCACCCTCTTTCTTTTTTTCCTAACATTTCGGCTTTTACAGGTTTGCTATCCAATCAACCAATCAATATCAATATAGGACCAGGCATTACTGCGTAATGGTCCAACTTGCCACACCGCTTATCATCACATCAAGTAGAAAAGTAGTGAGATGAAGGATGAATATAAGAGAATGCAGTCAAAAGAAACACTAAGTATGAAAAGAGAGTAAGGAAGAATGAATAAATGGTGATATCCAGTACAGCGTTAAGATGACGATATTGTGTACATACATCTGTGCCACTGACATCAGTTCTGAACCATACGATCACCTAGAGTCAGTCTACAAACACTAGTTCCTCTTGTCCCGCGGACCCAACCCCAACCACCCACTCTGCATCGCCCCACATGGCTCAAACCAACAGTCAGAGACTTCATACATTGGTGCCATGTTTTAGTCTGGACACCTCGGGCCTTTTTCCAGCCTGAACCTACTTCGGCCAACATTGTGTAATGAGGCAATCGGTGACTAGGCATACGTAGTATGTGTCGCATCCATCTCAATCGATGAACGTTCATAACCTCGCCAACTGATTTACAGCTACTCTCTAAAACTCTACACCTGACTTCTGCATTACTCACGTGGTGCAGTGACACCATGGAATACGGTCTATTCTACGAAGGCAACGGTGGTCAAACACCTGAAGCCTTCTTATATCTTCCAGTTTCAATGGGCATGTATCACAGCGACAGAGTAAAAGAGAGTGGACTGCTGTGCAGTACACGCGACCCTTAATAGACAAACGAATATCACGGCGGCGCCATAGGTGGCGTAAATTGGCAAAAGCCAATCCTAACAGGGTTGCTATTAAATGTTGGTGTGGTGGATTAATTGAAGCCAATATTGTCAGACGGACAAAAGCAACGCAGAACCTGGCATCTGAATTCGTCGCTTTAAGTTGCCACATTTCACAGTAGCAAGTAGAGAACAAATAGATAAAAAAGACTCGTAGCGAAGTAGACAAAAGTGAATAGCGGGAGAGGGAATTTAAAATTGAACGTTGGTCAAAACATTTGAGCTTTAGAAAACATCAAAGAATGAATACATCTGAGCTATTATCACTGATTTTCAGCAAAATCATCAAGAGTCCCCAAACATCGACTCCTTTCGTCTTGGGGACCTCAACTAGGAAGTCTAAATTTCCCCATACAGCGCAGACCAACAGTCAGGGGCTACATCAACTGTTGCCATGTCCTGGTCTCACCACCCTGAGCCGTCTTCCGATCTGATCCAACTTCTAACAGGACATCTAGTGGTAGTAGGTGGTGTCGCAGTTCATGCCCAACCTCAACACTGTTCATACAGTGAATCCACTACACGCCAACAATAATACGAAGACCCCTATGACCAAAACCATGTAATCGCTTCACATCTTTTACTCTCAACGGTCACGTTTCACAGCTGTGCAACAGGATAGAACGGACTGGAAAGCAGTACACTCCTCCTTTGATACACAGTCGAATATTTCACTAGCCAGTGCCAGAGATGATGCAGGTTGGCAAATGATAAATGGGCCTTTCATATCCAAGGCGAGATTTCTTCAGCATTCAGCTCATTCGGGCTAAGTGAAGTGGGGTTTACGCATTCCACTAATTCACTCCTCATCAATAACCTAGGAGTACTTGCAAACCAGTCCTGGAATATCTATCACCTTACATTTAACAGGTACGAAACGTATCCCAGTTAAACGTACTCAGATTTCAGCCAGTGCTCTATGAAGTCTTCAGAAACAAAATAAAATAATGAATCCTAACGTGGTCAATCGCTATGGATAATAAATCTAGTAAATTCTGCTACTCATCAAAATTTGGTACTATGAGTTAGACAGACTTTACTTTCACTTCATTTTAACAAGGGTTTAATGAAAACAGAAGCCAACAAGACAGTGAGTAGTTTTAAGCATTGTTCGATTAAACAATAAAAGAAATCTACAAAAAAGTATCATAGTTCATGCTTCTCTTTTTTTTCCACAACATTTCCTGGTGCTGAAGTTTCCTTTCTAATAAAATTTATTTCTCTATACAGTTTTCTTTTTCTTTCTCACCCGAAAGAACAATTGTATTCACAATTAATCATCTGTTGTAACTGATTCCAGTGTTTTCGGTAACTTCAACTGATTGCATACAGAGATAAGACAAGCTTTAGTCTCAACATCTCCATCATTTAAACAACAATTGGTAAATGCTTCACGAAAACCGAAATGATCATCATTTTCTAAATCTGCTAACCATTTCAATTCACCTGTAGTCAGTTGACTTATGCTTGACTCATCCATTGTCTGTTAAGAAAAGAAAAACATGGAATGAATAGGCATCATACACAATAAGCGCATATTATTATTATTATCTGTCGCTCGGGTTCCTAGTGGAACATAGGGCTTCAGTAGAACGACGCCATTTCACTCCGTACTCTGCAGTCTTTTCAACCTGGCTCCATGACTGCCCACAAGCTTTCATTTCTTCCTCACATGATCTCTTCCATATCACCCTCAGACCCCAACTGGTCGTTTCCCATTTGGGTTCCACTCGAGAACCTGGAGCGCGATGTCCCTGAATGGTCTTCTCAGTGTAGGTCTAATCCAATCCAATTCATCTACACTTTCTTCTGTATATTTGTTGGACGACAGCTTCTTGGTTGGTCCGTTGCGAACCAGAGTTCCTTGTTGCCTATTCTTTCTGACTATCTGATCAATTTTTAGTATCGAGTGAGCGTAGGCGGCAGCTGTTGATGCGATATATGTCTGTAGTTTGTTGGAAATGCTTCTCGTAACGCGCCAAGTCTCTCAACCATCACACAGAAGCACTGACTTACTTGACTGAATTAGTGTTGGAGATCCGGACCTTGTTCATGCATTATGCTCACTGCAGTGCAGTGCAGTAGATTTCCACACTGATAATTTCAGATTAATGAAGGCCTGTTTTGGTGTCTTTCCGATCTTAGGTTTCACATCCTCATCTGTGCCGCTACCTGTAATTGAAACGATGCTGTCTAGGTAAGTAGGAGAAAGGGACAACTTCCTTTAGATTTTTCCCGTTGGTGACGATTGGTAATAAGCGTATATACAATGTTATAATAGCATAATTAGCTACTCATATTGTACAGTAATATATTTGGTAGTCCATGACATTTTTGTAGTAGTGGATGGTTGACACCAAAGTTTGATAATTGGGAAACTACTGAGGTATGAAAAAATGCTAACTTGAACCATGCAATTTGTAAATAACTTCAGAATTGAACATCCTATCTTAGGCATACTGATTCATCTAGGTCAGCCAGATTCAATTGGTCTAAACAATTAGGCTGTGTGAGCTGAATTTGGCGGGATGAACTGCTGATGAGCTCGATCGCAAATGAGAAGAACGGCTGTCCGACGTTTAAATCACTCTGATCTGGTTAGCGAAATCTACAGATCAGCGTGATTAGTTTCCAACTACTGATCTAGTATTATTATTATTTATCCCTTGGGTTCCTAATGGAACATACGGCCTCAGTAGCACGTCTCCACTAAACTCTCTTCTCTGCAATCGTTTCAACCTGGATCCACGACAGACAACAAGCTCTCATTCCCTCCTCACACGATCTAATCCATGTCACCCTCGACTCTGACGCCCAACTCACCGCTTCCCATCTGGCTTCCACTCGAGGACATCGTCTGGCACATGATGTCCCCAGTCGGCCTTCTCAGTGTATGCCCAACACAATCCATCTCCACTTCCTGATACTGCTTATTTGTTGAGCGATAGCTTCTTGCTTCGTTGGTTCGTTGCCAGCCAGCCAGCCAGCCAGCCAGCTAGAGTTCCTTGTTGCTTATTCTCATTATTCTGGCAATCCATCTGATCTTCAGTAACGAGTCAGCCTAGGTGGCAGTTGTTGATGAGTGTGTGTAGTTTGTTAAAATCCCTTTCGTAACGTGCCTCCAAGTATCTCAACCATACAGAAGCATTGATTTGACTGACGTTGGTGTTGAAAATCCGGATGTTGCTCATGCTTTATGCTGAGTGGAGTGCAGAAGATCTCCACACTGGTTTCAAGCTAATGAACACCTGTCTTGCTGTCTTTCCGTTCCTGGCTGCTTTGACATCCTCGTCTGTGCCACCGCGCCTGTAGTTAAAACAGTGCTGCCTAGATAGGTGAAAGAGGCTACTTCCTTCAAGTTTCTCCCGACTGATCTAGTAGTATTATATTATTAAGCTTCATATCATCAGATGAGGGTTACATTACAATCTTGACAGAACTTTCGGCTAATAAGCTGTAAATACCACGAAATATTCGAAAAACTACACCTTGTTTTGTTGGCCATAACACCGCCGTAGTATCCGATTTTCTACTGAGGGTCGAGTGTACTGCACTGCAGTTCGATCTGTTCTATTGTATTGATGTGAAAAATGACCATTGAAGATGGAGGACATAAAAAGGCTTCTAGTGTTCGACAATCGTTTCCCTCGTAGTGTAGGTCGTGTTTCGTGGTGTCACTACGTCAGTAATGCAGGATTCAGGTGTAGTTTTCAGGATGAGAGGATATCAATTGACAAGATCGAGAGCCTTCATCGACAGAGGTAGCTGAGACATGTGTTAAACATCCTTAGTTACCGTTTGCCTCGTCGCGTAATGCTGGCTGAAGAATGTCCAGGCTGGAAAAAGGCTCAAAGCGGTATTCCTGCGTGAAATCTTTGGCTATTGGTTCGAGTCATATGGGGCGATGCAGACTGGCCGTTTTGGGTTTAGATGACAACAGAAACCAGTGCTTAAAGACTCTAGGTGATATGGTTCAGATTCGATGTGAGTAGCGCAAATGTATTCACACTTTATCTTAACCATTATACTGAATTCAGAGTTTTGTTATTCCGCCTTCCTTTTGTTTACTGCAATTCTACTGGTTTCGACTGCTTCTCATATATTTCTTGATCTTTCATCTTATTGCCTTGCTACTTGACGTGCTAATAAGAGGTTTGGCAACTTGGACCGGTGTGCAGTAATGTCTGGTCCTACATTGTTATTGACTGATTGATCTGGTTACACAAGTCTTGGTTGGTGGGTGTGAATCTGTACTGATAACCTATTGGTTTAAAGTTAGTAACCTGATGCTGCAAGACACATACCCACCCTTTTCGATGAAGCACTGGATACCATTGAAACCGCTTTATATCCGTGAATGACATTACTTATGTAACAGACGAGGTTGACTTCCAAATAGTGAAAGTTAGGTACTAATCTGGCAATCTAGATCACCTGTGATAGCACTAATCTATGCTTACAGTTGCCAAATGTTTAACATACAACATTTAGGTAGGAGTAATATTAACCCGGATTAATGAATTACGGGTTGTACTCGCCTGAAAATGCAGTGGTTCTCACTATTCAATCACTGTGACTCCAGTAGCTAATTCTTGTAACAACTTGAGAAAAACTGTAAATAATATTCCAGTCCAATAAGGTACATTTACAGATAATTTTGACTGCTATTTACCGACTTCAATGACTTGGACACGTAATTCCTATTACCATAAAAAGTTTGCAGCTCATAATTACGGTGACTGACTGACTGATTGAAAAGATCAACGTAGAACCTGACATACAGGTGCAACAAACCAAGTTGCCATATTCTACAGTAGTATACGAAGAACGGGTAGATAGAAAAAGTGACAACAAAGTAGACAAATCCGTTTGAAATAATAAACAATCTAAAGATAATCGTGTGTGCAAATATTTAGGCTTTATAAGATGTCAAGGAGTAAATACATCTGAACAATTGTCACTGATTTTCAGCAAAAACATCAAGAGTCCCCAAACATCGACTCCTTTCGTCTTAGGGACCTCAACTAGGAAGTCTAAATTTCCACATACGGCTCAGACCAACAGTCAGAGGTTACATCAACTGTTGCCATGTCATGGCCTCGCCACCCTGAGTCCTCTTTCAACCTAACCCAGCTTCTTCTAGCATCGCACGTCGAGGTAAATGGTGGCTGGGGATGCTCAGTACATATCCAAGTCCTCTCAGTCGACTAAGGTTCACAACCTCATCACTCGACTTGCCTGTCATGCCTAGTACCCTTCGCTCAACCTCAACATTGTTCACATGGTGATTCCACTACATACGAACAATAACTGCGAAGACACATCATCAAAATCCTGTAATAACTTCTTATCGTCTACTTTCAATCTCCATGTTTCACACCTGATGTGTACAACAGTACAGAACGGATTGCAGCGGAGTATACTCGTCCTTCAACAGATCGTCGAATAGATGTCGTCAGCCGGCGCCAGAGATGATGTAGGTTGGCAAATGCCAAATGGGACTTTTATATAAAAGCCGAGATTTCTTCAGCATCCAACCCGTCCGAACTGATGCAACACCTCTAGTAAGTGAAGTGGTTAACGCATTCATTCCACTGCTGCAATACATATCTATCACCTCAGAGTACTTGCAAATCATCTTCCACTTGACAGGTGCCAGAGAAATGCATACCAGACAAGTATACTCAGATTTCTGCTCCACGCATTCTGAATGCTCTGCAATTTGTCAGTGTCTTCAGCTAGCAGGACAATATTGTCTGCATACTCCAAGTCAACGAGATGACCTCAAGGGAGTATGTCAATCACTGTGAAGTCACAAATTCATAAGGTAATGTCCATTAGTACGTCCATGACGAAGTTAAGCAGGAACGGTGACAGTGAGAATCCCTGGTGGACACCAATAGTTGTCGTCAGTTCACATGACAACTCTCCATAAGTTCTGACGTGGTTGCGTGAGTTCGAGTAGAGAGCTTAGATCCGCATTATCTTGCTCGGTACTCCTTTCACAGTTAGACTGCAAAAACACTTCACGGTCGACAGAGTCAAATGTCGCCTTTAGGTCAAGGAATATGGCAAATGTCGTCCCCCTGTAAGTATGCTTGTCTTCCAGAACCTGTAGGAGGGTGAAAATCTGATAGATCCACCACCCACGACCACGTCTGAAACCTGCCTTGAAGGGAATACCTTCGATAGTGGCAGGAAGAGATCTTAAGAGACCTCGGTAATTGATTATAGTGAGATATCAGGATCGAATGATGAACTAAAGATTAAATATCAGATAAATGTTCCCTTTACTAACCAAAAATAGAAGTGAAAGTGAGAAATCACAACAAAAAGAACCATGAAAAATCGAATGATAATTTTTTTTGTTGCTTACTTTCAGGCTGGAGCTAATTGATTTAATAATATCTTTAAAAAGTACATTTAAATCGGCCAAAATTCCTCGAACTAAAGGTAATTCACTCTTTTGTTTCTGACAACCACAAGCAATATGTATTAAACAGGGTAGAATTTGTGGATCTAAAAAGTATGAGTATTAATAAAGTTATTTTTGTACTTCAATTATAGGATATCTACATGCATATCAACCTTGTACACATTTATGCAGTTAGGCAGTAATGAGCCACAAATATTGAGTGAAGCCTAATACCTGGCTGTTAAACCTCGGAAGATGGCTTTTGCCAATTTGCGCCACCTATGGCACCGCCGTCATATCCCTTTGTCTCTTAAGGGTCACGTGTACTGCACAGCAGTCCGCTCTCTTCCACTCTATCACTGTGAAACATGCCCATTGAAAGTGGAGGATACAAAAAGGCTTCAGGTGTTTGACCACCGTCGCCTTCGTAGTATAGGACGTATTCTGTGGTGTCACCATGTGAGTAATGCAGAAGTTAGGTGTAGAGTTTTGGGGAGAAGAGGTAAGTCAGTCGACGAGGTTGTGAACCTTCATCGACTGAGATGGTTGGCACACGTACTACGTATGCCTAGTCACCGATTGCCTCGTCACACAATGTTGGCTGGGGTGTATCCAGGCTGGAAAAAGGCCCAAGGTGGCCAGAATAAAACATGGCACCAATGTATGAAGTCTCTGACTGTTGGTTTAAGCCATGTAGGATGATGCAGACTAGGTGGTTAGGGTCCACGGGACAAGAGGAACCAGTGTTTGGAGACTGACTCTAGGTGATGGCATGGCTCAGAACCGAAGTCAGTGGCGCAGATGTATACACACATTATCCTCATCTTAACAACGCTATACCGAATCTCACTATTTTGTCACTCCTCTTTCCTTTCTTCTCGTACTTTATATTTCTTTTGACTGCATTCACTTATCTTCATCCTTCATCTCACTACCTTTTTACTTGATGTGCTGATATGAGGTGTGGCAACTCGGACCGTTAAGCAGTAATGCCTGGTCCTATGTTGATAATGATGATGATGATGGAGAGAAATTCAGATACGTAACCCATTGGTTGAAAGTCAGCACTCTAAACTTATAAGCAACAGCTTTATAAACACACACATACACAAGAGGTAGCTCATATTAAGCGACTAAGACAAACTACGAAAATATTTCTACAAGATGATATATCAATTAGTGATGAGGAATATTTATAGCTGACGTGGATGATCTGGGTGTTATCTGCACTGAGCTGGATGGTTTAATTGTGGAACTTTCGTAATCACTAACAACTTTAATATGATGTGAGTTAACAGGATTTTTTTCTTGAGGGTTTCAGCAGTTTGCCTTGATGAAGTGGTCTGTGGTTGGTAGTTTCTTTTAGATGGCTCTATCATTCACTACATACACCATTATACTGGTTGTTTCTGTCTAATCGCTAACCTTGTAGTTGTTTATGATTTTTCTCATAGTCTGACAGAATGCGTCTATGTCTATGCATCTGTTGATTCCTGGTTCATCTAAATGTCAAGCTTCTAGAAATTTTTCCTTTAATTCGTTACATAGTACAGTCATTACGAACAACACCTTGAAATCAATAAATCATCATAAATCTCCAAAATGAAGTCTAAAAATGCTGTGATATTCTGCGTTTTTCTTTGCATCAGTTATCAACTTCTGTCTAACAACAACACACTTCCGTTTCATTAAAATGTTGTTTATCTATACATACTTTTGGTTGTTGCGGTAATTATACTAGCTTTCCTGCTGCCGTTAAACGTGAAAATACAGAGTGCTTCTATCCATTTCGACTTCTTTCTCTGTGAATATTGTCTGTCGTGAATACTTATTGATTGTCTTCGGATTTTACAAGACCTCTCATCCTACTTTCAAATATTACGACACTCAAACCAACCAACGTCGACTGTGCAGAGATAACAAGTATCGCCTTCTGAACTCTGGAGTATATTAAATTGTGGTGGACGGAAGCGAAAAGATAACAATCAAGTAACCATTTATTATACATAACATTGACATTACTATTTTGTGCAATAACGCATTATCATTATTATTATTATTTGTCCCTTGGGTTCCTAATCGAACATACGGCTTCAGTAGCACGTCTCCACTACACTCTCTTCTCTGCAATCGTTTCAACCTGGATCCACGACAGACAACAAGCTCTCATTTCCTCCTCGCACGATCTCATCCATGTCAACCTCGTCTCCGACACCCAACTCGTCGCTTCTCATCTGGCTTCCACTCGAGGGCATCGTCTGGCACATGATGTCCCCAATCGGCCTTCTCAGTGTATGCCCAACACAATCCATCTCCACTTCTTGATACTGCATATTTGTTGAGTGATAGCTGCTTGCTTCGTTGGTTCGTTGCCAGCCAGCCAGCCGACCAGCCAGCTAGCTAGAGTTCCTTGTTGCCTATTCTCATTATTCTGGCAATCCATCTGATCTTCACTAACCAGCCAGCCTAGGTGGCAGTTGTTGATCAATGTGTGTAGTTTGTTGCAAATCCTTTTCGTAAGGCGCCAAGTCTGTGAACCATACAGAAGCACTGACTTGACTGACGTTGGTGTTGAAAATCCGGATGTTGTTCACGCTTTATGCTGAGTGGAGTGCAGAAGATCTCCACACTAGTTTCAAGCTAATGAACACTTGTCTTGCTGTCTTTCCGTTCCTGGCTGCTTTGACATCCTCGTCTGTGCCACCGCCGCCTGTAGTTAAAACAGTGCTGTCTAGATAGGTGGAGGAGGTTACTTCCTTCAAGTTTTTCCCGTTCATGGTGATTGCAGTTTGTTGCTGTTGGAGTTGTTGGTGCAGTGTCTTCATCACTTCTGTCTTCTCTATATTCACTTGAAGTCCCGTCTTCGCTGCCCCGCCCTGCCACTTCTGTCAACTTGTTAGTTTTCGTCTGTAGATCTTCAAGTTTATGTAACATCAGGCACAAGTCATCAGCGAAATCCAAGTCTTCTAGGTTCTTTTCCCAAATCCAGCCAGCGTATCCCCCTCTTCTCACAGCTCCCCACTGTTTGCTGCATGATCCAGTCCAGTTGACCACTATCAGGAATATCATGGAGGATAGTAGGCAACCTTGTTTCACTCCTGTCCCCTGTCTTCACTTCAAAAGCATCACTGAACTTCCCATTGTGAATTACTTGTCATGTGGCATCTTCATATAGCTGTTGAATGAGATTGATAAAAGTTTGCGGTACTCCGTAGTGTTGAAGCAGCTGGCTGCCAAATTACTTCTCGGTCGACGCTGTCAAAGGCCTTTTCAAAGTCGATAAAGTTGAGGTAGAGAGCTGATTCCATTCTATACTCTGTTCTATGATGATGCGTGGTATGGCGTTGCAATTTGGTCCACACATGATTTGTACTTCCTGAAGCCAGCCAGCCTGTTCCGGTTGTAGTTTTGAGTCCAGTGCATCCTTTAGCCTCTCCAGGATGATGCGGCTTAATATTTTGCTTGCTTTGGGTGGACAGGAGTGGGGCATGATTCCGCGCCAGTTCTTGCAAACACTGAGGTCTCCCTTCTTCGGGAGTTTGACAAGGTAACCCTTCTTCCAATCAGTGGTCAGGTACCTTCCCTTCCTTCTACACCTTCTGCAATAGTGGTGTGGTGTGAGCATGTCCGCTGTTGTCTCTGCGTCTGTTCTCAGTGCTTCTGGTGGGATCCCATCTGGTCCTGCTGCTTTCCCACATTTCAGTAGCTTTATGGCATTCAGGACTTCCACTTTTGTTGGAGGATTTATGTTCACTTGTAGTTCAGCTGCTGGGCTGTAGGTGGTATTTCTGGACGAAGTGCAGGTGGTGGTGGTGGTGGTGGTCGATTCAAGAGATTCTTGAAGTGGTCGGCCCATTGTTTTCTCTGTTTCTCTTCTTTCGTAATTAAATTTCCTTCATCATCTTTTACTGGTTTCATCTGTGTTAATCTCTTCCCTCCCAGATAGTAACCTGGTTATTTGATACAATGTCGTCAGGTCTCTCTTACCTACAGCCTGTTCTCCTTCACTTGTCAGTGTATCATAGAAGTGTCTTTTGTCTTTGCATACACTCTTCTTCACTTCTTTGTCCAGTGTTGTGTTTTATACATTGTACTCAGTTCCTCTTGTCGTTGAGCATCCTTGCACTGCACTGGTTTATCTTCTGCTTCACCATCCTCCTATCCCTCATCTATCAGCTTCCATGTATCCATTGAGATCCATTCAATATCTTCTTTCTTCTTCCTTCGTGATACGGTTGTGCAGGTTTCTCTCCACATAGCTTTCAAAGACTTCCAGTGTTCTTCCACACAGGTTTCTTCAGGGATGTTCCCCGATATCTCCCATTTTGTCTTGATGGCTGGTTGACGTGAAGATGTCCCTTGTGGTTTCGTCTTTCAGTTTCTGAGTGTTGTACTTGAAATGTGGTCTGTCACCAGCTTCCTTGAATTGAAGGCTTTTAACTTGATTTGGAAGGTTCCTTGTACTAGATATTGAGTGGTGTGAACCTACATCTGCTCCTCTTCTTCACCTTGTGTTAAGTAGGCTGGCTGCGTCTCCATTTTCTTGAGATTGAGATAAAGTCGATTTGATTTTTAGTGTCCTGGTGTCTGGTGAAATGCATGTCACTGGCTTTGTGGATATCCTTGTGCTTGAACACAGTGCCTCATTGCAATCACCAAATCGTTGAATGCACAGAATTCTGCAAACAATTCTCCATTCTCGTTCTTCACCTCACCTAGCGCTTCTCTACCCATGATGGATGAGTTCTCTTCCTGTGTTGTCCCCTCCCAGTTTGGCATTCATGTCACCCCACTCATTAGAATTTTGATGTCCCCAACTGGAGTGGGGTCTTGTCCAGTACTGATTGCAGTTGTCTGTAGAATTCCTCCTTTTTCTCTTGCTCTGCATTATTTGTAGGTGCATGGAGTAGCATTGTATGATTGTGACCTTCCTTCCTTTTGCGTTGAATCTATCTTGCTGTCATGATCCTACAGGAGGAGATTGGTTCCCACTGCATGAGGGCCTTCGATGCTCTTCAAGGGGACATCATGATAGCCACTCCAAAACTCAGTGTGCTCGTGGTTGTCGTCTGGGTGATAATATCGGAATAGATTATTGACTCCT